TTTTTTTCTGTTTTTTTTGAGACAGAGTTTCGCTGTGTAGCCCAGGCTGGCCTAGAACTCGTGATGATTCTCCTGCCTCATCCACCCTCCTGGGTGCTGGGATGACAGGTGTGCACCACCACTCCGGGCAAAGCTATTGTTTTGAGAAGGAAAGGGCTGGTCCACGTCCTGGAAAAGAAGCCCAGCAGGACAGTGCACTCATGTGGCCCTACCTGTGTGATGGCGGCGACCTGCTCGAGCACCAGGGCGCGCAGCTCCGGCTCTGGCCGCTCCAGCATCAGCTTCAGGGATGGCAGCAGCAGGGCTCGGTCTCGCAGCAGCAGGCACAGCTCCTTCATGGCCTGAAAGACAGGGCAGGGTGAGCGGGGAGGCACCCATCCCGCACCCCCTCGGCTGTGAATGCAAATGCGTGTGTAATGCACACTCACAACCACACTTCGCTCACTTCCGGGACGGGAATAGCTGCGCTGCTTAGAATTCATCTTCCTCCACTCTCCGAGTCTGGCCTCCCCTGGGTGACCGGAAGTACCCCCGCCTGCCTTTCGGTTGTATCCGTACAGGTGTGCATGAGAATCGGTGTCTACCTAACCAGAGCTGCTACCCACTGTGAGTACGGCTGGCAGCATCTACTGGCAGCTGTCACGCACAAAACGGAGGAAAGCATCAAACAACATATTCCAGGACGTGTTTATAGGTCTGATGTCAAGGTGGGAGCCCGAGACACCCCACCTCCATGGAATCTGTCTGTGGCACGCAGCAGTAAAAATGTGTGGGTCTCCACAGGTGCACCTGAATTTATTCACAGCCTTTATTACACAGACAGAATCTGTTGTTGGAGAATAGGCTTTAAAAACAAAGGTAACAAATGATAGTCCTTTGCAACAAAAGTAACAAAGTAGAATGTGTGTAACAAAAGTATCAAAGAATAGGGCTGGGGATTTAGCTCAGTGGTGCTGCCGCCTGCCTCACAAGTGCAAGGTTCGGAGTTCAATCCACCGTACCAAAACCAAAAAGTATCAAAGAATAAAATATTGCAAGCTGTTTTGCAGGGCTGAGCTGGCCACCGGGGGCGCCAGACTCTCGCTGGACATAAAGAACACAGCGATGGGACCCACGTGGCCCCACTACAGAGGAGCAAGGGCCGTCTGGACAGCAGGACCCAGGGCTGCTGCTCTCCACGGGGCTGAGCTTTCTCCTCTACTCCTACAGCACCAGGAGACCGGAGGACAATTCAAATACATGGTATTCCCAATAATCCTTTGCATTATTATAAAGCAAATATGAAAGGGGATGCCAGGAAGCAGTCGACTGAGCGCTCAGGATAATATGCTTGCTGCAGTTTCACACGTTATAGTTTCTCTGCTTCTGCCCTGCATCCTGGCATTCGGGGTCGAGGGCCCAGTACAGGGTTGATTCCTAACAGCACAGCAAGCCTTGGATGGCACACCACTTGCGGAATCATGCCAGTAGGCTGGCCCCAGAGAAACGGTCATTTTTTATGGGAGACGCCAAAAGCAGCCACTGACATTGGGGAGGATAAAACAAACAAACTCCTGAGCATGCCCCCCTGGCCTAGCTGCCACACCCTGACTTGCTTCCTGTGACCTCCTCCTCTAGCCTTTTCTTTTCTTTTTTTGGTACTGGGTATGGAACCCAGGCCCTTCACACTGAGCTCCGTCCCCAGGCCTTTTCATTTTTGAGATAGGATCTCAACAAGTCACTCAGTTGTCTAGGTTGGCCTGGAACTTGTGCTCCTCCTGCCTCAGCCTCCCAAGAGTACAGGCACTGCCACAGCGCCCAGCCTGCTCTGAGGCTCTGGTAGCACAGTGGCACGCAGGGACCTTTCGCCCACGCAGGCATCTGCACCGCCACCGTTCAACACTGCAGCCACAGCCACACCTGCAAGGTGGCCTTGCACCTGCGGAACTGCTTTCTTTTTCTTCATTTCTAGTCCTGGGGCTGGAGCTTGGTCTGGTGCATGCTGGGCAAGACCTGTAGCACGTGGCCCGCCCCAGCCCAGGATGGCATTTTTAATTTACCTTCAATTTTAATGTTAGCATCACGCCACTGCCAGTGTGGGCTCTCTCCCCGTCTCCCAAGTGGATCTGTCGCTCCCTGTTCTTTGAGATGTGGCTTAAGGAGGTGCAGAGGACCCCAGCTCTGAGGGGAGGCACCCCTGCCTGTGCCGGGAGTGCTCTCCCTGTGCCGACTGTGGTTCCTTCTGCCCTGGATCAGCACTGATATTCACCCAGCATCTCTCTTGAGGAAGGGGTGCTGCTGCTTCTCTGAACCCCAAGCTTGCTTGGTACAAACGGTACCTAAAACTACCCTTGTGTGATCTCCTCTTAGCACTCACTTCAGGCACCAGTGATTGGTAAACAAGTATTTCTCAGCAATTCATGATCTTCAAACTCAGCATAATGCCGGCAACCTTGGCTCTGGTGGTTGGTGGCCTAAAGGACAGTGGAGCAGGGCGGGGCCCCAAGACCGGAAACCCATCCATGAAGGCCACGGAGTGCTGGCGCCTCTTAGTGGGCACGAACTGGCCAAACACTCCGTCTTGGCATGTCAGCCCCTCTCCTCCATTTGCTGGGTGCTTCCCCTGGATCCAAAGAGGAGCGAGTGTTTACTAGGAGATTTACAAAGGCGGGATCGGGGACCTGCAAGAAAGGCCAAAGCGGCAAAGAGAAAGAAGAAATCCTCCTTCCACGTCTCCACAGCTCACATTTGCTGGCCACAGGATGCAGAGCAGCATGAGAGGGCTCCAGGGCTGGAGGGAGGAGCTGGCCAGACCCAGGTCCTTGTGGGCTGTGACCCATGGGGATGCGCTGGAGTGAGGTCGCTGAGGCTGGAGGTTACCTCGGAGCAGGTCGGGTCTACCAAAGCTCCCGCCTCCCATGGCCCCTGGGCCCCAGGGACAGAGAAGAGGGGAGCCTGGGGCACTGTGTTCAAGCTCAATGACATGGCACAAGGGGCTGTCATGGCGCCAGTCCCTGCCCAGAATGGGGAGCTGCAGGACCCCTCTCTCCAGCAGGGCCCCTGCAGCTGCCCCAATCTGCTGGTCCTGCAGGCCCAGGGCCCTGGATTTCAGCCGGCTCTGCACGCCGGCAGCCGCATCCCATCCCCAGCCCTTTCTTCATGGCCCAGCGGGCAGGCGATGTGGCAGCTGTGCACCGAATGCCACTCACCCAGCCCATGGTGTCTAATGACCGTGACCATTCTGGTTCCTCCTCAAACCCTCAGAGGAAGGGACCAGCTTAGCCCCACCCAGCAGACATGGAAAGCAGGGGATCAAGCGGTTAAAGAACTTCACTGTTGCCAGATTTGACAAAGCAAGCTCGGCATTGTCAAAAGCGGCTGGATCTGGTGGGGAGCAGTCGCCAGAAGCCAGCTCGGCCGGGCTCCTCGACAGCAGGGATTCCTCCCACACCGCAGCCCACAGCACTGTGACTCTGTGACTCACCCTGAGCAGCAGTGAACAGGGCCTTTGGCGTCTGCCACAAAGAGCTGGGTCCTGGGCTTGTGGTCTCTAAATCCCAGAGCCACCTGAGCGCAGTTTCTTATTCTACATGTATCCACCCCCGAGAACAAGTCAGGGGTTGCCATGGACATCAGCTGGGAAGAAGGGGCCAGAGCCTTGAAGATGTGGCTCTAATGGCCTGGGAGGAGTGTTGGTTTTATACTCCTGGGGACATTTTCCACTGGGAGGGCACTGCTGCCTAGGTAAGCATGAGCCATGGGCAAGAGTCATGGAAAAAAGGAAGTCTATAAATATGGGAGCCGGGGGGTGGGAAATGGGATGAAGCAAAAGGGGAGTCCAGCTAAGCACCCTGTCATCACCAAGTGGCATGTGCATTTCATTACCATGGAGGAGGAGGACAACCAGAAATGCTGGATTTGAAAAACGAGCAACACATAATTTTATCACCACATCATGATATAAAATGCTGTGGAACTCTGAAATGAGGCCAGGCGACTTCTAAATGGAATGAAAGTGACCTCAGGCCTTTCCACTTAGTAACGCTCCTCTGTTTGTAACACTGGGGACTTGTGCTCGTGCACAGTCAGCCGTCGGTAAAGACGGCACGCGCCACTGGCAAACTTCTCATTACAGCACCTAAGGAGAAAGTCTGCAAAGGCGCCCAATGAGGGGAGGGAAACTGAGGCAGCATACAGAAAAATGAAGAAAAGTCACAGTGCCAAAGAACTCCTTCAGTCACGCATGCCGTTCACGAAGTCCAGTGGGAACACAGAAGCCACAGTGACTGGCCCTGAGATGGGGTCCACCCTGGCCAGTGCCCCGAGGAGGCCGTGAGTGAGCTGTGTGGTCAGCTCAGGCTCCTCTGGCCACGGGTCCTGTGTGGCCCGAGCTCAGGGCGCTGCGAGCTCCATGCAGTCGAGAGACAGCCAGGGAGCAGAGCCACTTGTGCTTAGGCTCCACCTCCCCGCAGGCCCGCTTCTGGCAGGAAATAAAACACAACTGTGACACAGTGGCACCGGACAGAGGAACACATTTTCCTTTGCTGTCCTAGGTTTCTCTGGAATTTAAAGGGAGGCAACGCAGCTCACGACTGCTTTAGACACTGGGCCACACCCAGGAACTGTTCTCAGGCAGCTCAGAGCTATCACACACTGCAAGACTGAGCCCTGATCTTGGGGTCAGGGTCAGAGATGCTGGGGTCTTGTTACAGGAAAACCAAATCAGTAATGAAGTGCTCTAGGCAATGGTAGAGGGCCTAACAACCTTAGGTGTAAAACACTGGTAAACTACTCTAGAAGATTCTATAGGTCATTCTTGAAGGAAGTATTACAGAAAAGGAAACTGACAATAAAAGCTTATACAAGCCCCAGGTATGGTGGTACACACCTGTGATCCCAGCCTTGGGAGGCTGAGGCAGGAGGATCGCTGCGAATTCAAGGCCAACCTGGGCTACACAGTATTCAAAGTATTCACAGTATTCAAAGCCAGGCTGAATTACATAATGAGACCCTGTCTCAAAAAATTAAAAAAAAAAAAAGCTTATAGAATTGCCCAAGAATGCAGTACACACACATTACAAACGGAGGAAGAAGGGTCAGCTCTTTCCTGGCACACTCGACACACAGACTTTGTCTGCAGTGTTCACTGTCCAGGGAAGCCGACCCCAGAGGCAGAGGAGGCGGGGCATGTGAAGGAGACACCAGCACAGCGGGTCACAGGTCATGAGGCAGTGGACCCAACTCCATGCCACTGGAGGGGCTGACATTTTGGTGTTGGCACTTTCAATATTTATGGAATAATTCTGTCACTTTGGTGCTTGGCAGACTTGTTTAAATGGATAAAATATTTTCAAATTCACTAAAAGAACCCTTGTCTAGCCATTAAATATGCATTCATAACAGCAGTGATTATAAAGAGGACTGAAAGGATCACATGTTGCTTTACTTTCGAGTTTATCTCCCACCGGCAGAGATGCAAAACTAACCCATCAGTGTAACGCCACGGTCCAAATGCTTAGGTCTGCGCCATGTCCACGGCCTGACAACGCACCGGTGCGTGAGGTCCACGGGGGGCGGGAGTGGGTGAGGAGTAGACCAGCTGAATACCTGCACACCTGTGTGACCCGGCACACACGGAACAACTCTGTGACGGCCAAATCAGAGGCTCAGACAGGAGACGTCAGCGAGGGGAGGCTGGGTTCTGAGCGCATACTGTAGAGAATAAAGTCAGATACTCCTCGCTTGATGAGCTGCCTAGCGACTGTGCCTCCGCCTGAGAGCAGCACTCGCCCTGAGTCGCAGGCCCTGAGCTGCAGCGGCGGCCCCCGTCTGCGGATGCCTGTACCGGGCAACGTGCAGCTTTCTGTGCACATCACAGTGCTGCGTGAGGGTTACGCCGAGGAAAGAAAAGGCGTCAAGCTGGAGTTTCCTCTGGCCACTTCTTTGTTCTGAACTCCGTAATGCACATACTACTTGGGAGTCTTCATTTAGCGACCGGCTCGCTCAAAGACCTAGTCGCGGACCTGAGCTCGGTCCTTAACCGCGGGCGAGGAGCGTCTGCACCGGGTCGTCCGTGCAAACATCAGGGCTGCGCTGGCCGCCTGGCCAGGCTGTGCCGGGGCTCGGAAGGAGCCCTGCAGGGGCTCTGGGCGGGAGAAGCGGCTTCCACGCTCTCGCGCTGCCCTTCACCGCTCGCTACCCCACGCCCAACGCGCCCATGCGCCCGCGGGGCAGAGACTGGAGCCCCGGGCCCCACTCACCTCGGCGGGCAGCATCTGCTCGGTGTGGTGCACAGAGCGGCACATCCTCAGCACTGTGTCCCCCACGTTCTCCTCGCTCTGCGCCGGCCACCTGCGCAGCATGGCGGCCGCCAGTCTCAGCCAGGGGTTCCGGGTCGCGCCGGCTCTGAAAGAGGAAGGCGCAGGCGGTGCCCAGTGAGAGCTCTCGCCACCGCGCCGAGAAACTACACCCGTGTGCGCCGTGTGCACAGACGCTCCCGGAGATCCGCCCTCGGGACACACCACGGGGGAGGAACAGCGGCTTTCTGGGTGTCTCGGCGAAGCCTGGGTGACTCGGCCTCCAACCGTGGCGAAGCTGCCACGTTTGATACCAGGCACACCTCGGCGGTGGCGCCTGCCTGTCATCCCTGCATTCTAAGGCGGACGCAGGAGGATGCCAAGTCTGAGCCCAGCCTGGGCAACTTAGAGGCTAAATGAGACCCTATCTGAAAATAATAAAAAGTTTAAAAAGGGCTGGAGATGTAGCTCTGTGCAAAGGTCCTGGGTTTGATCCCCAGTACCACGAAAACAAGCGGACACTGGCTCCTGTCAACCCTACTGGGGCCACTCTCCCAGGGGAGCCAGGGATGTGCAGAGCTGGGCCTACCGAGCACAGGCTGGGGGAGTGACAGGCAGGTGGATGCTCATACCTGGCATTTCCTGCTGTCCTGGTGCCTGGAACATACATAACTTGCCTTTCTTTTCCTCTATGCCACTACCCCATTATTCCACATAAACCTGACAAATCCACAGGTTAAAGATGAATTGACTCCAGGGCCCGGGAGCCGCTAGCGCCCTCATCTTTGTTAAACATGTTACTGTTTAAGAAGGGTCTTCCTCCACTGCCCATGCCCTGCAGAGAATTTCACCTGCTCAGTGACCAGCAGCGGCGGTCAGAGCAGCCTTCGGCCAAGTGAGGACAAAGGGCACTGCCTTTCTCGAGTGCAGACAGTGATCAACAGGCTGCGTGCCGAGTGTGGGAAGGAAATCAGAGCAGCAGCTGGCAGCGCAGGGCAGCGCCGTACGGCCAGCTTGGCGGCTCCTGGGAACCCGTCTCCTGCACCACTGAAGCAGGGACAGTGGCTTCCTGCACAGGCTTGTGGAGTAAGAGAATATCGCGTGATCTCAATGAGGGATTCCTCATCTGCTCGAATGGGTCCAGCCCCGTTGTGCAGCAGTGGGGACACTGTACCTCAGAAGCCAAAGAGAGGCTAAAGGCCTCTCATGCATGAGAACCAAGGTCTCAGCTCACGAGAAATGTACAACTGTGTGCCGAGGTTGCTAAGGTCTACAGTGAGAAGGAAACTGCTCTCTGAAATCTTGAGGAAGGAAAAGAATCAGTGCCATCGGCCTCTGTTTTTGTTTACACAGAGTCTTCCTGTATGCTGCCCGGGCTGCTCCTGAGCCATGCTTGCACCTCCGCCTCCCCAGAGCCTGGACCACAGGCGTGCCCTACTATGCCCCTTCTGCCAGGGTTTCTTTCTTATTCTGATTTGTATTTTATTGAAACAGGGTCTCACTATGTAGCCCAGGCTGGACTAGAACTTGTGATCCTCCCACCCGGCCTCCTGCATGCAGGGCTCCGTCTGTTTCTGTGTTGGTGTTTCCTCCATGTGCCAAGGGGGAACCCTAGGTTACCACTCTATCACTGAGCTGCACCGCAGCCCTGTGGCGGCCGATGGCACGCGATCGGTGGGGGTGGACACGGAGGGAACCCTGAGCTCTGTGCTCCCCGAGCTCGCAGCCCCAGCCATGGAAAGGAGGGGCATAGGCTTCTCTCACTGCCTTCCTAAGATACCACATTTTCAGGAGCGAAGTCACACCAAGGGGTTTGGATGCAGCCAACCCCGTTACACTTACGCGTGCTCACTCCTCATGGGGGGCCAGGCGTGCAGGAGCAGGGCCAGGTGCTGGAACTCGGCCTCTCGGTGGCTGCTGTCCAAGAGCTCTGAGAACAGGGCGCAGCGCTGCTCCTCGCTCGCGACATCAGCGACGTCCACCTGAGAGGGGAAACACACACTGGACGGGTGAGGAGCCTGCTGGGTCAGTTTCTGGAAGAATTCACGCTACGTGATTCTGATTAGGCATCCTTTTGAAAATGCTTACAATGTGTGAAGGGGAAATTCGACACCATCAATAAAACTGCTGGGTGCTGGTCCTCAGGGTAGCAGTGGTAGGTGGTGGGGACCTTCAGGGCAGTGTCTGGGGCCCTGGAGTTGCTGGGGTGCACCTGGAAGGGGCTGTGCAACCTCGGCCTCCCCACTGGCTTCTCTCCCACACATCCCTGTCCCGCCAGGATGGGACCCACCCTAAAGGGCCTCGGCTGACTGGAACCAAGGCCTAGCCTCCAGAGCTAGGAGTAAGCAAACTTTTCTTTCTAAAGTTAGCCTGCCTTGGGTATCTCATTATAGTCATGGAAAGCAGACGAATACACACAAAAATCTAGGTATATGTTTACAGCAGCACAATTCAGGATAGCTACATCTTGGAAGCAGTCTATATGTCCATAACAGAGGAATGGGTAAAGAAAATATGGTGTTTGGAGCATGTTATATCATGGCGCACTACTCTGCTATAAAAAAAGGATAAACCTAAGTCATTTGTAAGAAAATGGATGCACCTTGAGACTATAATTAAGTAAAATAAATCAGAGAAACATGATTAAATATCATTTTGTCTTATAAGAGAAACCCAAAGTACAAATAAAGAGCAATACAGAAGATAGTAAGAGGGAGATGGATTTTTCTCCAATGGGAAGGGGTCCCAGAGATGGAGCGAGAATGGAAGGATGGGAGAGGAGGGATGAGAAGGGGCCCAGATGGGGCATGTGCCCGCAACTGCTCCGCATGAGGGATGTGCGCACTGTACTGCAAACGTGGATGGATAAAAACTTAAAAAGTTAAAGTAAAAAAAAGACATAAGTCTCACTCCATTTCAAACAATTCTATTAAAAATGTTTAGAATACCAAACTACAGGAAGGCTTTTAACTTTCTTTACCCAAATAAATTAGATTAAATAAATCAGACTTCCATATAACTGGCTTAATGGCATTCAACACATCAAGCTGAAATATGGAATTGTTTTATTTGAAACTGTAACATTTTACCATACTCTACATTAACTGAAGTTTTAAAAGTTGAAGTCCAAAACTTGGTTTCTAATTTTCTTTAGAAAACTGCTAGCCTACATGTTGTCCCCAAATCTTTTCTAATTTGAAATTGCAGATTTTACTAAGGCGCATTTGTCAGATGATGTTTTTGCTGTAAATCAAAATAAAATATCTTCCTTCATATTTCCATTTCTCGTGCAACAGAAGCCAAGTACAGAATACTCATTTTTCCTCTCTCTGCATAACGAATGATGTTCCTTTACACAGTGTCAGTCCTAAAACAAATCGCATCTCTGGTGCCTCTGTGGAGGAAGATGTTTTATACTTTGTTAAAAAGCTTTGTTCAGCATGAAATGCGCCAAGTCTGGTTCTCCTGCCCTGCAGCCTCTCCAACAGTCTTTGTGTCCAGGTACAGAGGCTCTCAACAGGAGGAATTCCGACTGCTCCGCCGACAGACATTTGGATGACACCCGGATCGCAGTTAGAATGGGCGTCACCTACAGATCTGCTGAACTGTCTGCGCTACCGTGTGCTTTCAAACGTTTACTTCAACAGCCATGCTGGCTTGGATGCTGTGGCATCACCAGTCACTGCATGGCAGGCCCTGCTTACTTGGTGGCTCACAAGTGACAGAACAACAGTGCAGAATAATAATCAGCTTATGATGTTCTAAAACTAGGGGATCCTCCAAGCAGGGTGGTGCCAAGTTATTCACAGTGGCCTTCTAATGGGGGTGTGACTCCTACCTTTCTATACATAAATGGCTTTGTAAAAAGCGATCTCTAACTTGGGACATCCACCTGCTACCCGGACTCGCCATCGCCAGCCTGCCCGGCCTCAGGGCCTCTCTGTCATACGCTCCTGCCTCCTCCAGAGACCAGGCCGCTCACATCGCTTCCTTTTGCTGTCTTACAGGTCCCCTGGCTTCCCCGCTGCCTCACCAAGTATCCCTGAGCTGTCCGCCCTCCGAGCTCCATCTCAGGTTCCCTCTTAGAACTACAACCATGGGATGCGCTGTGCATTTATTTATCACCTTTCTTCTTCCATGAGAATGTAAGCTCCCTCAAAGTAAATGGTCATTTCCATTCACTGACTTAGGAAAATCCCTGCTATGGGGTAGATGTACAACAAGCACTTACTCAACTAATGAATGCACGTATGTAAAAAGAAATGAAAGAAAAGAGGATCATTCATAAAATAACCAAGCACAGATGATATTAAATCCTCACAGAGTTACCACAAAATTCTGGTTGGTTTTGTTATTGCAGACAGAAGATTTAGAAAGGAAGTGTGGCCGAGAGGGAAATTACTTTAGGAAAAAAGACTGAGGATGGCAGGTTTACGGCCGCTGCCTGTACAGATGACACGTGTGACCGTCCGGTGACTTCGGCAAAGGCCCCTTCTGGGTCCTCACTTGCCACGGTGCCCAGAGCTCCGAGGTCCTGCAGACAGCCTCTTCACCTGCAGCCGGGAGAGGCCCGGGGAAGGCCGACTCCTCCCCACACTGCTGTCTTAGCTGCCCCATGATGCTTTATTTGTATAAAAGGTTGCTGCTTAAGAAAATACTGAAGAGCTACTGAAGGGTCTAAGGATGGAAGCCAGGGCCCCACGCATGGCGGTAAGCACTCTGCTCCTCAGCTACGTCCCCAGCCCATTCCCCAGATTCCATAATTACTGCAGAATAATTAGTATCGTCAGAAGCAGCTTTCCCTTTATGTGAGCTGCACAGTCTACTGGGTTATTTTTCGTATGTGATGTCTCTCGTCCATTTAAGGAGAAAGTGTTTTCACGCCTTACCTCACACAACACCACTTTAATACACTCACTTTATTACTTCTAGTTCTTTTTAGTATTTTCCTTGGGATTTTCAAAAATTAGAAGAATACATTATACAAGTAAATAAGGGCAATTGTGACTTTTCAAAAAGTTATAGATCTTATTTGTTTCTTTTTAATTACAATGACTAGGACCTGGAGAACAATGCTAAAAATTAATCATCATATTGGGCACTCTTTTATTGTTCCTAATTTTAATGAACATGCCTACAAATTTTCACTGTTATAAATTTTAGCTGTGATTAAGCTTGGCATGGTAGTGGATGACTGTCATCCCAGCACTCTGGGAAGCTGAGGCAGGAGGATTGCAAGTTTGAGTAGAGCCTGGGCAACTTAGTGACTTACCAAGACCCTATTTCAAAATAACAATAAAGGGCTGGGGATGTGGCTCAGTGTGAAGGCCCTGAGTTCAATCCCTAGTACTGCAAATGCATGAATGAAAGAATGAAACATTTTAGCCATGATTAAATCCTAGTGGTCAGCAAAGAACACAGAACAGAAAACAGGGTCAGCACACATTTCCCCTATAAACGGTACATTAAAAATAATGGCGTTACCCACTTACTTTCTGGAAGATGGCTTTGGCCCATATATTTGTATACTACATCCAGTAATGCTGCTCAGTAAGAGAAAAATCCACCTTACGTTGAAGAAATCCCTACGCGAGAAAACTGACAAGTTATCCGGGAAAAAATTAGAGAAGGAAGAATTATCCTGAGAGCACAGAAGTAAATAAATAAATGGGCCTCGGGGATTAGAGAAGCTTTGAGAGCATATGATGAGTATGAACATCGGGGGAACCTGAACACCCTAAAATACTTGAAAACAGGAGCCTGGCTTGACTCGGACATGGACCCAGGAAAGAATCAAAGTCGCCCTTTTCTAGGAAGTAGGACATCGTGTATAAAATATATATTCTGAGCATCTGAGTAAATTTTATAAAAATATCAGAGGCAGAAAGAACTAGCACGCGTCTCCAAAGAGTCACAATGTGAAATGACTGTGGAACACTTCTTACTGTGGAGAGAAAACTAACTCTCAGTGGCTATCAAATGCTTCAACATGGCTCACCAAAGAGATCGTAAAATAAATGATGGAAGGTCAGTTTGACTGAAAATGCAGCTTTTAAAAACTGATGCTGGAGCCAAAGTACTGCAGAACAATTTACTTTGGGGATGCTCCTGCCCTCTTGGGGGCTTAGTTTCTGCTTCTGTAAGAAAAACGTAACTCATGCTACTATGATGCTTTTGAGTCTTAGGTACAATAGTGGGACTGAAGTAAGTAGCACAGAAATTGTGCAAGGTAGGCACACAGTAAGAAGTAGGAATCCGTCATGTAGCACCCACATAACATGCCAAGTGTAAGCAAGCCGGAAGCTGGATTTGTGCTGCGGTTCCTTCTAATAAGATTTATGTCCATGGGGTGGGGCAGGGCAGGAAAAGAACAGAGGGAAGGGCAGCTACTTGAGGAAGATGGAACTGTGCGTTCACTTTGATTCCCTTTTGAAATCTCATTTATTTGTGTAGTAAATTTGGTGTTTGAAATTACTCTTAAGCAAGCTTTGCACTGACTGGAGGAAAATAAACCTGAGAGAAATCAATGTTTTCATACTTTTTTTACTTTGTCTTTTCCCAAAGTGAACAGGAAAACGACATGGCTTCCCTTAACACCCTGTCCTGCCTGGGCGGCTGGGAAAGCCAGCCAGGTTCCTCTCGGGAAGTCACATCTTCCTGCAGTCCTTCCTGGCGCCTGCAGCATCTTTGGATGCTTATAAATGGAGACGGGCGTCAGCGTGTAAAGGGCTTATGACGGGCGGTAATTACAGACCTTCCAGGGTAGGGCTGGCAGTGGCGACACCAATCGCCAGACTCGTCCCTAAGAGCTGTTAGCCTGCTTCTGAGAGAACCACCGCGACCCTTGATTTAAGGACGCAAGGCAGCTGTGGTTCTTTTCAGGAATACCAGGAAATCTAACTGAGTTGTCTTTGTGTGCAGGCCTTTGAAGCACAAACAAAAACCCCTCACTTCAGTAGGTTTCTAGAAGCAGAAAAAGGCC